GAGAGGAAGTTTCACCGTACTTCAGAGATGGTTCGACGGTCTTACTCTGCAAGAGAAACACAAATAATGACTTATCTGTCAACTAAAAGGGCAACAGCCCGCTGAGCTGACTTACTTAACCACCTAACGGCTGAAGTGATGGAAATGCCTTCGTGCTAGTCGCAGCGTAATGGATGCGATATTTGCTGCGCAACGGCTCCAAGCACAGTCCCCCCAACTTCGTCAGCTGCACCGTCCCTTCATCTCTAACTTCACGAAAGTCTTCCCCGACATCAAACGAATGGTTCTGTGGACAGTTGTTTTCATGTACGACCGTTGGCCGAAATTCACATATTTCGTCCAAGTTCTGCGTGATTGAATAAGATTGGTTTCGAAATACTCAGACATAAGACAGGAGTGCGTCCTTTCCTCCGCTCTCAATCTTTGTCTAATGGTTATCATGAATGCGGCTTTCGCGAACGACAGTGCTGGTGTACATTTCGATTGAAGACTTGAGGACATCTGGTTAACGTTTTGGTGTGAGGGGTCTGGTTCACCAGATCATGTTAGCGATCGACTCGGTGTTATTCCCAAATGCACGTGGTTTACTGTAGTGCCTAGCTAAGAAGTCTGCGACAGCTGATGTGCACTGTGACATGCGAATAAGTTTGAAGAAGATTCGTTATGCGCCAACCGATGCTTGGTTTTCTCACAAATCGGCTCGGCGTATCTAGACTGGAACCGATTTTACGTACTACCGCACACTGGCTGCTGACTTGACTGCCACCCGTTAGACGAGTCACCGTGTTTCGAATCTGTGAGTGGAGGGCAAGCCGTGCGTCTACAAGATGATACTTTCGTCCGACCTTTTGTACGACATCGAAACACTAACCATGTACATGCGCAACTTCCTATACTTGATGTTCAATGGACAATGAGTGCCGGACACTGAAGTCCTCCGACGGGCGCACTGTGATGGAGTGAAAGTTACTGTTGCATCCAGCCATCCCCAGTGGTTAGTAAATGTTTGTTGTATGTACGGGAACAATATTTTGAGGCGGATTTTATATGGTCAACTGAATTCGAACAACCGGAACCCTGGCAGACAAAAGCTTCGATATCTGAGTACTTTGGTCGAAAGTCTAAAAGCCGCGAGCGTAGATTTCGTGAACAGGGAAGCAGAGATAAAACGGGGATTGAAGAGAACTGGGGTTAGTCAGTTCACTGATCGCCCACTTCGAGTTGGAGTTCCGTTTGTGAGCCGTTGCGTTGATCGCCACACAAAGCAATGACTTTAAGGCGTGGAGTTTGTTGAGTAGAACTGACTATCAATGTTCCGGAGGCTGATCACGAGCTTCAATAATTGGAAAATACCTTCAACCCAAACGGTTTCATTTAACTTCTTTGTTGAGCCCTTGTCCCGCTTTTAGCTTTCCTTTTATCGTGAATGAACTTTTACTTTGTTGTATCAAGAGGGCTTTTCACATTCCGATTAGGCCCTGTCCACAGACGGTGAGGCTGTAAATGTAATCAAAAGTGAATGTGATGATATTTTGGTTGATTGAGCGTTCGAAACTTACTATCCTTTCTGTTACTTAAAGTGGAATGAGACGGGTTGGTGCTGACTCCCAGAGGCCTCGTAAGTAGTATGTGGCTCCCCTTGAATGGTGACCTGACGATACCCGCTTTTGAAAACCGGTATGCTGAAAACTTTGTACTAAGCCATGTGTATTGGATAATCGGTTCTAGGTAGTGGGTGTGTCACGGTAGGTACGGTGGTTGCTTATATGGCTGTAAACAACACAAAAGCATTTTTTTGTGTTTATCATTAACAAGGACTTGAGCCCGCAACAGACGTCTAGAGGGCTCGATAATACCGTCCGAAAACAAACAAGCAATATCCGTACGACTGAATGCCTTGTTAGCAGCAAGATTTCTTGGCCTTGCAGCAGATGATTTGAAGTCGGCATACGCCATGCCCGCACAAATGGAACCTCTAACTTTTCGTCGAACTGTAGGAAATTGTAGTAAGGTAGAACGTAGCATAAGTACGGTAACACTGGAAGCCTTAAGTTCTGATGCATGTTTTTGTACTGTACTGTTTCATAACAATGGCCCTCCGTGTTAATATCAAGCGATTTATTCGTCACTACGGTTTGATTCCGTGACTTTTGCGGCCTCTATTTATGATGAAACCGGCTCTCGGAACTATCAGTATCAACAAGCATTTCTAGAGGAATGCCGTTGATTGATAGTTTAGTAGCATCGGTTACTGTAGCGATTGAATATAACTCGGTAGCACGAAGCGAAGCAGGGGGGCTTGGAAATATATTCTGACGAAGGCTTTCTGGAATTCGCCCTCTCATTGCATTTCTTGAACACGACCACACGAGACGGACACTGAAAAGGGCGATGCTGATTACCTTCACGAAAAAACATTCATCCCCTATCAGAAGTGGTTGTTAGGGTGTCGGAACTTGGTGAGATGGTAAGTTTACGGACTCTGGTGTGATTTCACAAGCGGTCAGTGCAACCGTGTGTGAGAGTGGATTGGATTTCACAGAACTGCGGTTACTTTTCGACCATTTCCAGGCAAAGCACTCCATCGAAGTTGGCCTGATAGTCCAGTGTTCTCTCTTCAGACACATGCTGTGGGGGCACTTAACCTTGTGATAAAATCGTCTCAGGGTGTTGTCCTGCAGTGCAGTTTTCGAAATTGCGGCCTTTCAGTAAAATTTTCAGTTTCAGGTCGAATTTGACTCGAGTTTACCCAGTTTTGCTTACATTTAGCCGGTCAATGACGTGCAAAAATATTGTTTCTGGGTTCAAAATAAATCTGCGGAGTGCCCCCAGTTTCTTCGAACGCTTCGCATTCTGTAGTGAATGCACATGCAGTATTATTTATACAATGGACCAGGGTGTCAAGTGTATGTGAGTTGAGAGCTTCTACGTACCTTAAAAGGTGCTGAGCATACAGAACCGGTGGGTTCGATTTTACAACCACTTGAACCGACATCGAAGAGGACGCTCGATGATGATGAGAATCCTTATATTGAGTAAATCGTTATGGTCTAGACTAACATGCAGACATATGTAAGTCAGCGTAACTGAAAAGAATTGAGTGACAAAAGTGAGGCTTTGTTCAGTATACAAGTGACGTTCTGCAGCTCTAATGTATATAAAGGTGAAAGTATATTGTTTTGAGAACTAGAGAGCTAAGTATGTGAAGTACTGGCTGGCTGAGCTTAAACTCAAGATGATAGTGTTTGTCGTTTGCAGCTTTTCGCCTCACCGATTTTTATTCACTAGTTCTGTATCCAGACGCAATAGACGCCGTTACATTACCTGGTGTTCTTTTACTACCTTACAACTGTGAAACCAGGTTGACAACACAACCATTAGGACAAGGTGGCGAGGCCTTATTCCTACTACTTCTATCGATTCAGAATATGATGTCGCCCGGTCGATGAGCTCCTTGGAGAGACCTTGGAAACAGACCCGTTGCTTAGCCTCCTAAAATCTTTTTGATCCGTGGCTTGAACTTTTCTATCCAATAAACTTATGCGTAGCTTTAAGAGGCGCATTCGAAGGAAACGTCAGTCGTAAGTAGGTGAGACAGGCAGCGCTATTTAAATGGCAGTCAGTTTCTAAAGGTGCGCAAATTAAGATTTCTGAACGGTCACTGTCAATCCATGATGCGAATTGTTTTGTCTCTTTTAACGCCGAGAGTATTTCTAACAGAATGGCTGTTAGACACCAACTTAAGTATGGGGAAACCTGCTGCGATCAGATGATCTTAAGAATGGATGGAGCTAATGCGTCTGGGAATGTTCGGGAACTTTTTTCACCTGATACAAAACAGTTCCAAAAAACAACTGTTACTTAGGTCATCAAGGATTTAATGCCCAACAAAAACCAGCGTCTTCGTCTCTGTTTTGAATACCTTGGACAGCAGCTTAGTTGGCCGTCTGTCTCTGTACCCATGTCTTTCATTCAACACGCTCAACTCGAACCTCAATCTGAGTTTAGACCGCCTGTCAGTTGAATTACTAATATGCCCTCCTGCCATCGAGCCACAGGGCTGGGTGAGTTATTGGGTGAGTGTTATTTAAAGAGAGTTGTTTGAAATTATTCGGGAATGAGAATGCGTTTAAGAATCTGGAACCCATCGATCCTTGTGCTTTTATTTATAAAAATACCCAAGACGGCTGCTCCATCCACAGTTTATCACGACTGCCAGGCTCAATGATACTGCTCATCAGGTAGGACGCAAATCGGGGAGCACCTCAGGATTTCGACTCCTCATCATGAAGAGGTGGGACTATCCACCTGAGCCCACTCTTCCAAGATGGTCCTTCCTTTTCCTCCCACAACCCCCTACTTTATTTTCTCCGCGCCCCTTCTACCGTCGACTTGATCTAAAAAACTGAGTTTGGACTGACCGGTGAATTGAGGTGTAAGGTCAAGTTCTGGGGGCTACGGAGTTTTTAGTCACCCCGTACTGTTTCATGTGTACGATATTTAGTCAAGCCAAGTTGCGAGCTTTTGACATATCCTATTTCCGTATTAGTTGACTGGTTTATCTTCCAGAGATTACTGCACTTAGTTGACTCCCGTTATTCACAGGCTTTGTATCGGAGTCATAATACCTCTTTCACATCATCTTTTGCACCAAATGCCACACTTGTTTCGGTACGTCCTACGCAAACCAAGTCCGAAGGTCCTTCGTCCTCTACAATGTCACTTTGAAAATGGACATCTCGGTTTAACTGTACGTCAACTAATTTGCGATGTAGTCAGTGTACGGCGTTTCCCATTAGCATAACTGGCTAGTAATTAGGACAACTCCTTGTACTGCTCGATCACTATTTGCAAATTTAGCATTTTTTCCGTGGGACCGCTCAGTGGATGGTAGATCCAGTAAGGTATTAGGTAACCCTTACATTTTTACGTCTAGCACCATGTGTTCTTTTTCACAAAACACGCTCCTTTGTTTTCAGTTTCATCCTACTCGTGGTGGGATGATCCTTTTGGCATTGCTGATCATCGTCGGTTATGCTTCGTCAAAAACCACGATAACCCCACTTTATCGTTCTCTGGAAGTTGATCAAACTGGACGATTCGAGTGTACCACAGACTTAACTGGTGCAACTTTAACATGGAAGCTCTTAGACTCGGAGAATCTTCCTGATGGTAGCAGTTCGGCTGACGGGCGCTTTCTCAACAAAGGTGGGGTTCTCATAATGGAGCGCCTACTCTTAAATGATTCTGGTTCTTATCAATGTTTGGACGATGTGAACATTTCAGAGGAAGATTCGGAGGACGTGGCATCGGCCACTTTAAAAGTGTTTGTGATGCCTTCCTACATGGTCGAAGGCATTGTCGCTCTCGTCGTCAACTTGATTCTCATTCTACTTTTCATCGGATGTATTGTGCACAATAACCGTCAGCAACGTTTGAGAGACAAATTTCCATCGTTGTATTAAGGTACCGTAATTTTCATACATGTGATACGGCGTACCATTCGCTTCATCTCACGTGGTCTTGGGAACAATCCCCTGGTGCTCCGAACTTGCTTGTATTGTGATTTACTTTTTCCCCCTTTTGCTTATTATCGTGATTAATATAAAGATTCATATTGTTTTGAAATTCGTCCAATCATTCGGCACGTTGATACCCAAAGGTGGCTGAGCAGAATGTGTGTCATATGGCCTTTATGTGAAATAATTACAAAGAAACTTCTCGTTTATCACCCCAGTTGTGCCACATTCAGTTATGCTTGGATCGCCTCGTCATTAGAACATTCCCGCCGTTAAGCGTGCACCATGAAGTTCTGCAGTAGTCTGTTTTGGTACAATGATTGTGTGCACATCAGATGCGCATTGATTGGTTTTCGCTCTTGTCTTATTTAGCCTGATCGAAATTCTCTGCACGTCCAGTACATTTATAACGAAAGGGACAGCCTATCCTTAATAGCGTGTCACTCAGTTTCTATATTCAACAGAAGTTGCTTGCAATTGCCTGCCTTATATTCATTTCCGCCTTTGTCATGATCCGATGCCGCACTCGGATACCTTCAATGCGGCTGTTGCTTTTGATGGTCTCGTGGATCGCAGCTGCTTGAGGGCGATGATCCAAAACGTGAACAATTATGTGGATTTCTAGTTTCGATCGTGATGACGTACAGCATAAGAATAGACTCAAACGTCCCACACTTGCTCTGGTTCTTAGCTGACCACCAGGCGGCCCATATTTGGTACGGAGTGGTGATGATAACATTCGTTTGGTCGTGTCACCATCCTTGCTCTCCGCCGAAGTAAGCGTAGAAACATTTTGAATACGAAAGCATTTTGTTTGGATTTTCCTCTCCAGTGTTCCCCTCTCCGTCTCGCGTTAAGATTGCCCATATGGCATTCTTAGTCTGATACTTATGGCGTCCGGCTGAATTCGGTCCGTACAGACTAGGTTCTATATTCAGGGTTACCGATTCGGAGTACGCATATCTCCATTTCGTCGTTTTTCTGAGCTGCATCATCATCGTCGACAGACAGCGCTTCACTGCCGTACAACCATGATTTATTTGAAAGCCTTATTGTAACGAAAAGAGTAAAGGTGGACGGGGAAAGGACTTAGTGCTAGCTTACCACAATCATTCCGACGTGCTTACACCTCCAGACATTCACTCAGGCGATCTGGATAGAAACTGATAACAAGAACGCCACTGACATCAGTTGCCAGCCTTATCTTGCAGTGTCTCCAACCAGCCACAGTGAGGATCACGCGGTCCCCATCCTGGAATGCGAGTAGCACCGACAGCACCCAAGCGTTTCGTGATCAACTTCATACTCCTCTGCCAAGTCAAGAGTTGGCCACCTCTCTGTTTACGCCACTCTGAGTTGGGCATGGAAAACAGCACTCTTCGGCAAACGATGGTTTTGCATACGCAACACATATCCCAACCAACGCGGCTTCTGGTACTGGACACATTCTTCAATGGAAATACCCGTCGCACAACCGAAAACGTGCTTTCTAACTGCATCGTTACGGATTCGCTGACAAAAACCCACACGAGCTATGGTTCTGAGACAACAATTGTCGAACACCTGAAGACGTCTCAGGTCCGCTGCTCGACTAGGCCAACTCTCACAGCCATGCAGCAAAACAGCCCGTACTATAGCTTGATACACACGTCCCTTCAGATTCAGGGATAAACCATTCTGACGCCATAGGTATCTCAAATTAGCAAGCGCGGCCTGAGTTGAATTAATACCGTTCTAGTATTGTATTCACTGTTTTCGTATTCTGCCGGGCTATTCAGCAATATAGTCCATTCAGTATAAGTAAACTGACCACTAACTTGAAGGATTCATAGCGGCCATTATATGGTTTTTCAGATATGTACACGTTGTAAGGTACTTGACTTTGCTAATGTTGATTTAAAACCAATGAGTCTTGCATAAACATTGCACTTGGCGGCTGCCCGGGATGTGATTGGGAAGGAAACTGATTGCGACTCACTACAAACATCTTCATTTCTAGACGTCGAACCAAACAATCTTGACCGATAAGTATCTCAAACCTATTTTAACGTCACCGGTCTAATTCAGGGCGGATCCATCCCTTCGTTTCAGCAAGTCTGACCTGAGCAGGAGACAGGAGTTCTTTCTTCAACAGTAACATGTACGTCACACCGCAACTCATGTTTTTTGTTGCCTTCTGCACCACTGGTCTTGTAGGAAAGTATCAGGGATTTCAATCATGGGCAGTTCATTTTGGGACGTCGTCACTTCAGGAGTCTTTTCCAGAGGCGACTTAAATTTCTCCGAGTTGAGAATCAAATTCACTAATTCCCGAACGCTTTCAGTAAAATGTCAGAATCGCTGTCCTGTCAATGATTATAAGTATGGATGAGCTACCTCTGTATATCATTTATGCTCGAGTCATCTCAAGGTCTCTCGTGAGTTCGGTAGTGCTACTGCTTCCAGCCAATTTTCAGCTATCTTGTGTTCTGCACTACCCAAATGAAAACTTACCAGAGGTCAGGTCTGTAGTATTTGTTGACGAACCAATTTCTATGGTAGGTCGGTATATCAGGCACTTCTACGTTTCACTCGGAGATATGAGGAATGTTTATCGCCTTTAGCACACTTCTCACTTGATCCGACCAATCCGGTTGAGGAAGGCAGAAACGAAGAATGGAGGTAATGTGGCATGTGCCTGGTAGGAATGCGCATCCGAAAGTACTGATCATCTCATATTTACAAACCCATCCTTTCACGGTCAAGAAGCGATAAGTAATCCGCCATCAGTCTAGTGGTCTTTCTTTCCATTTGATTCATGTTTTTTTGTCTAGTGGTTGAGTGTGTGCACCTTACCCAGCCTTGCTCACTTTGCATAAATCGGCCATTGCATGCTATTGGAGATGAATGTGTGGAATTTTGAAGGTGCATTTCCCACCCATATCAGATAATCTTCGACTTTACAGTATTCTGTAATACAGTTTTGTGCTACCGAAGTACGTAAGACACCTGTGGGGAATTTGTTTCGGGAGCTAGACAAAAACCAGTTAATTCTGTTGTGTAAATCTTCGGTTGTTCGTTGTTGGCGGCCGCGGCCTGAACCAGTAGACTCATATGGAAGCAGATGCGCGTCCGAATGTTAGCTCCTGCTAAACCAACCGGTTGAAACAGATGAAAAGCATAAGTGCGAACCTTCATTAAGCCATAGTAACAAGCATCTGATGAGCAACCGGCCTCGGAATTTGACGAATATCGAGGACAAGGACTGTGTGCATTACTCTCAGTGGTCCAAAACCTTACTTCCTTATATCTTGTAAAAGTTCCGTCCTATCAGAATGACGGTGTCCTATTTTTGAAGATATACTGTGATGTTAGGAAAATACTTAGGATACTGTATCAGAGTCGCCGCCACAGGAAGTACTGTTGGGATTTGCCCATTACCCGTTAGACATACCTCTACGCGCTGCAGTTTTCATTCAGTTGCGTCGTGCTCGGGTGCTAGTGTTTACTTTTAATGTAAAAGCCATTCTTTTCGAGGAGCGGAACTAACGTTGTCACCAGGCTAGCGAATTTTTGTTGTTTTCCTTCTGGTACCCCGTGGGCACTATCTGAAGCGAGCTTAGTAATCTCTGCCAAACGACACCTTGTCCGATACAAACTCTCAGTTTCGTGTCCTTTTTCTAGTCAGTTACCATCTTTCTCGTCATTAAGTGATGTGCACAACAACGTTAGCCCTGACTCCGACGGGACGCCTAATGGTGAGCTTTCCCTATTTACGCTACTTACAAAAGAACAGTAGGCAAGTCGGTCAGGAAATATTCGGCATCCTAGCTCGGCCACGTGGATCTTGGCTACGCCTCATTGATTCCGTCAGAATGCAACCCAGTTACCAAACAAAATATTTCGATCTTTTAGGTACATTTGGAGACCGTTACCCTCTCTCCTCTCGAATGCGAAACTAGGTTGTTAAAGACCACACTCCCTGTTTATTAGGAAGGAAAACGACAAGGCGCCAACCTAGTGAAAAGTGGCGGGAAAATTCTGAACGCTACTAGCCCAAAGTGGCAGTTGTTCAAAGTTTATTGCACAGGAGTGATAGCAGTGAAATTTATTTTTGCCCGAGGTGGTATGGCACTTGAGCCCATTAGTAAAAGTTTGACGTACAGGGTCGCCTTGCGCAACACCAGCGGCATCAGTACAGGGTCTCATCCATTGTTAGTTGGCGAATACTAATCAGGGTTCGCCCTTTAAGTGAAGTCATTCTAACCCATCAGGGTACAACAGCTTCATCCTTGTTCTTGATCATCAGAACTACACATCCCATGAATCTCCAGGGTGACGAGAACTCCTAACCCCTTGGTTAGTAGTTGAAGGCCAAACCATTCGATCATGAGAGGCCGATCAGCAGCGTGACTGACTCCCACTTAGACAGGATGTAAATTCACTCATACTTCATTCATAAAATCCAAATTACATGGCTACGTATTGACTGAGTGATGAATTGTTAGATAAAGGCTCATTTGTCGTGTGAACTATTTTTCCTTCCGAGAAATCAATTGTTTATCGGTAATTTAAGGCGATTTGAAAACAGCGGAGAAGTACTTTGCATATCCTGCATCCTTATTAGGAATCATTAGCACATGTGTGGTTTGAACAGCTAGTCGAAATGCTTATCTGTGAGGACAGTCAATCCCTTTATAATCCCCATCCATAGGTGGCTCGTCTTCACAACCGTTGTTTACTTCCTCAATTTCCTTCTTTGAGATTGACAGACCCTGTCCTGAAAAGACTACCAGATCATGTGGTACATGTTTCTCTGGGGGTAAAATGGCGCAATTGAATCACCGTCAGCCCATGTCAGTGCTCCTATCTCGTTCCACTGATAGCTGTTCAATAAACCCTGACCATTTTCCACTCTGCCACAACTAGAGAGCACTAAATTGTATGTCGTATGCGTTCCCCAGGTA